GCTGCCAAAAGAACCAAAAGATCTGTTTTGCAAGAAGTGCAGCCAGAATGCTCCTTAGAGGCCAAGATGGCCAAACTTCATCTCTCATACTTTGGACATATTGTCAGGAGGGAATAGTTGCTAGAGAAGGATATTATGTTTGGTTAAGATGGAGGGTCAGAGAAAAAGAGGAAGACCCCTAACGAGATTGATTGGCCAGGTGGCAGCATCGATGGACTCAAGTGTGGCAACAGCAGTGAGGTTGAGCCAGGATCAGGCAGTGTTTCGCTCTGCTGTGCATAAGGTAACCATGAGTCAGTGCTGACTAGATGGCACCTAACAACAACAAAGCCCTTAATTAATACCTTAAAAATTAAGATTCTCAAAACACTGAAAATTTATTAGTAAGCCTACAGGGGGAAAAAGAGTGCTGAAATAAACTTGCAACACAAATGAAGAGAGTGTTAAGTAAAGCAATCGTTCTCCCTTCAGGGGTCACCATTTGCAAAGGAGAAATGTTACCTGTCTGCTCAGGCTCACTCTTATCTTCATCTTCAATATCAAACTCTGATTCCCTTTCTTCATATTCCACATTTTCATCCAGTTCTTTGAAATCAGGTGCAAATGCACTCCAATTTTCCTGCACCACAAAGAAAACATACCACATAGCATAATGAGCAAACTACCTAATCTGTAATCCAGACAAGAATGACATAAAAGAAAACTTGCAACTGAAGCTCATTTTTAAAATCAAATTTGGCAAATTAGAATAAAATTAGATACACATTATACATTAAGATATTTCCTACCTTATATGTTCCAAGTTACTGACTGTAGCTCTTAACATAAGAGCCTTCTTTAAAACCTTTACAAGATGTAGTTTTGAGGTAAAGTATTACATTTTTATATAAATGAATACAAATGATCTACAAGTGACCAAAAATAAAATCAAGATGCAAAACAGAAACTAACAGAGCTAAATATAAGAAAAATGTACCTAAGATAGATAACAAAAGTGAAACAGGAAGTATACTAGACTTTCTTCTTGAAGATCTAACAGAGCTGGTTAGCGTTAGAAAAGACTTTTCCCATCAAAATTAAATAAAACTAGATGCACTGACGCATTGAACGTATGCTAACTGCAAGGTCTGCAGTTCAAACTACCAGCTCAGCAGAAACCCTATCCAAGGTTGCTATGAGTCGGAACCAACTCGATGGCACTTAACAACAACAAAAGAAATGCACCACCAAACCTTTTTAAATACGTTGCAAGAATCATATGCAAAAGAGAAAAATATAATAAGGTGTTGTTTTTAAAGCTTATTATATGTAAAGATCCTATGATAAACAGAAAAGTGTTTAGCTTTAGAGCAATTAAACCAGAAAAATACTTACTACTTGATTTTGTGCCCAGATAGATACCACTCCACTAGAAATGGATGCTATGATGGGTCGAACAGGATGCCACTACATTGTAATGAAGGAAAGAAAAACAGGATCTAAGAGATTCAAGATTTTCTGGATTGTGTAACTAACAGCAAGCGCCTCCCATTCCACTCACAGCTACATCCAAGAGGAGCTCTCCTCGGGTCCCATGGAGGATCTTCACCAAGTTCCCAATGCTCTTCTCCCAGATGTAGAGGGCATGCTGCCGGGCTGAACCTGCCACTATGTATTCCCCATCCCCAGAGAAACAACACTTCTTCCATGGCGTCCTAAGGACATAGAAAGTACCCAAGGAGAACTGGAATTTGCGTCTGGGTTAGGAATTACTACATATTCTTCCTGGTCATGATACATACCTGTTCACCAAGTCCTGAAGTTTTTGCATAGGCTCAGGTTCTCCATCTCTTCCACAGGTTAGAATTTCTCTGCCATCATAAACTCTGATTATTCTATCTGCTGTGTTAATTAAGAAGCAACTATAGAGGCGATAAAAATACCAATACCACAGGTCAAAAATCTGTCCCAGTTAACATTTTCTATTACTATCAGTTACTTACAACAGTACCATAGAACAACTCATAGATTGAGGAGAGATTGTGTAAAAACCTAAGTAATAGACTAGAATACTTCTGCATCTATCACCTTTCAAATCAAAATGTAACTTGAAGTAAGAATGTTTTATGAATCCAATACATACAAGCCATCAGCATGTAACAAGAGATCTAAGATTTCTAAATTGAAAACTGACTTACTAAATTTCCAAAGTCTATAACTAAAAATATATAAATACTTCCGTTCTTGGGCCATTTTAGACATATTCTTCTTAGTGGGCTAGTAAACTAAGTCTGTCATTTCAAAATGCTTACACATTTCACTGTAAATAGCAATGGACACCTTAGAGATCTGTCTGAAATAACACTTACTTCATCACCTTACAGCATGCACTGACTGCAACCTTTCCTAATTCAGGGAATTTTGCATGGCTTTTCCTGCATTAAAAGGATGGCTAGTACCCTCGGTGGCACAATGGTTAAAGCGCTAGGCTGCTAACTGCAAGATCATCAGTTTGAACCTAACAGCCACTGCCTAGGAGAAAGAAGTGATAATGTGCTTCTATAAAAATGACAGCCTTGGGCACTCTATGGGGAGGGTCTGCCCTTCCAGTAGGCCTGCTATGAGTCCAATTCATCTCTACAGCCAGCAGTGGGTTTAGGTCACTTTTCTTACTGATAGCTTATTTCTTCAAGTTTCTGTTGATATGCTGACCTCTAATGAGGTAACCCAATTTACCAGAATAATACCTGAATTTTAAAAAGGTAAATAGGTTTTATGTGAAGACAGGGCATGTTCAGTGACTATGTGAATTCTGACATGAGTCCCAATTATAACAATAACAAATCTTTACCCATCACTTTCTACGTGCCAGTGCTTTGGGCTCTCAGCACTTACATTCAGGTATCTCTTCTGGATAGGAGCTCCTGGTAGCCTCCAGATAAAGAAGTATGGTCAGTGCCTCAACAACTAAATATTGGAGGCTCTGAATTACATTTTTAAAATGACATTTTAAAAATATTGAAGTATAATATACAGAAAAACTGAATCTCAATGCATTTTTAACTTCTACTCACTTTTACAACTTAAAACTGTCCCTAAAACAAGGTCTCACTTACCTCCCCTTCCGGGCAAACTCTATTGACTTGATAGCTGTGGTATTGCTGGTTCCAGTTGTTACTCGGAAGGAAGCAACAAGATCCTGAGAGTCTGTTTTTAGGACCAAAATCTGAAGTTTAAAGGAGAAAAAAATATTAGCATTGCAATAACTTATAGTAATGAGATCTGACTTCTGTTTCTAAAATTGGGCAGAGACTGGGTAAAAACATAAGCATCTCTTTTCCCATTTATTCAACCCCATTCACTACATTTGCTTTTTACCTCTTCAGAGAAAGGACACTGCCTTAACAATCTAGTCTTAAAATTGTTACATCATATTCTTTTTACTTACTGCATACACACTGGAGGGATAAGTACCTCATGATGGAACTGCAGTTTCCTTATAGGCTTAAAATGATTGGTTGTTTAGAGAAAGAACAATCACTATGTTGTTAAGTGTCGCTGAGTTGGTTCAGATCCAAACCGGCACTGTATAGGGTTTCCCAGGAGTGGCTGGTGAGTTTGAACCATGGACCTGGCAGTTCAAATTGACTATGCAGTCCAGTGCATTACCCCATAGTGCGACACCAGGCACTCAAGAGGATCAAGTTAACAACTTTCTACAGTAATCCTGAAGTTAAATGCCATGAAATATTAGCTATGTACCCATTAAAAAAAAAAAATCAAAGTACCTAAATGAAATTACATACTCAGCTTGAAAGATACATTAAAGCTCACCTAGCCAACTTCTGGTGTGACACTGGAGGGTCAGCACTGAACCTTGAACTGTAAGGTTGGAAACCCTACACAGGGTCATTATGAGTCAGAACTGACTCGACGGCACTTAACAACAGCAGCTAATTTCTAATTCTACAGAAGAAACACCATCTACAACATATCTTAGTCTGAGACATTCCTAACACTCTAAAAGGCAAAGCTAGAAATTTAACAGAAAGGAAAGAAAGTATAATAAGGTCTCAGAACTACAAACTGAGTTGTCCAAAAGTATACAATACTTAACAGAATGAGATATTCAGATATTTCATTATCAGTGCTCCATCTGATAAGATGACTTTTTAAATTTTATAATTTAGCATCCAGTAAAGGCCCTCCCATCTTTTTCTTTACCACTCTAAATCCAAAGTACAGAATTACCAGTAAAGCATGAGATAAAAATAGATTACATTTGCTGCAGGTTAAGAGCTGTGCTCTTAAAATAGGGACAAAAGAAACCTAAGAGGAAGTAAACATGAAATGAGCCACTGCATGGGATGGGATGACAGATGCTTGTATCACCAACTTCTAGGTTTCTGGGCTTACCTTGCCTTTTGCATTTCCTGTATAAATATATTCTCCTCGTCTATCGAAAGATGCAACCACGTTCAAATCGGAGTCATCGTCTACTGGCAGAACCACATGTTTGGAATCTGAAAGGGTCAACATGACAGGAGCAGATTTCATGGGACACACGAGTACCTTGTTCCTGTTTAAAAATACGAACAGTACATTGGCTTGTTGCTTCATTGTCAGAAAGCTGAGTCTCTGCCCTTTTCCCTGGTCCCTATAAACTATCTCATCATCTTTCCCAGCCTAATCAAATAAAAAAACAGCAGAAAAGCATCAAACCTAAATGTCTAATAACAGGGAAATGACTGAGTATAAGATGGGCTCCATCTTGACAAAATAATATGTAATTATTTAAACAAATGTGAAGAACTGGTAAAATAAATACGAAATAAAGTGAAAAAACAAAGTGTTGATTACAAAGATGTATAAAACGTATATTTTAATATACTTAATATGTATATAAAGGAGCTCTGGTAGCGTAGTGGTTACGAATCAGGCTGCGAACCTTAAGGTCAGCGGTTCAAAACTACCAGCTGCTTCGCGGGAGAAAGATGAGGCTTTCTACTCCCGTAAAGATTTACACCCTCGGAAACCCTGTACAGGGTCGCTATGGGTCGGAACCGACTCGACGGCACTTAACAACAACAACAAATATGTATATAAGTGCTTTATACTTATTTAAAATTAAATGAATTTAATGACAAGGGAACCCAGTGAAATGAAAACAGTTATGTCTGGGTAATTTTTCTTAAGTGCAGTTGCAATATTAAATGGCTTCTCCTTACAAAATAAATCCAAATAATCCTGTGGAGAGCCAGTGAGGGGGAACAACAGGTCAAGCCCTGGTTATTATACTCATTCCTGTATTTTCCCATTTCCAAAGTCTTAATATTGGTCAGTTTTTAATTAAATAAAACAACACTTTCCTTAAAAATCTACTCAGTACAACCAACCTAGACAGAAAGACTCTTTATGTGGGGAGTTGAACAGATATACTTTGCAGCCCCCTAAAACCTTATTTCAGAATTTCCATGAGCCTGGCACTAATCCATAAAGAATCAAACCCACCCCAGGAAAGGAGGGCTTTAGGGTAAACATACTGATCTCGTGGATGATACTGGACTTTTAAGATAGGTGAAGGGAATCGAAACCTCTGGTCGCAGTCTCCTGAAAGAACATCCCACTGTGATACTATATTATCAGTGGAAGCACTCACAAGCTTATGACCATCTCGACTCCAGCTGTGGAAAAAAAAAAAAAAGGTAACTTAGCACATGTTCTAAGTTCATGTTTATTAGCTTATTTATGGATACAAATGCTTGACCTAAGTGGATAGGTCAGCATTGTCTCTCTTATGTATATATACATATATATATATATATATAAAACACCCCCACAAGCTTTCACAATTAATAAGAAGGTTTACATGACAATTTTCATACCTAATAACAGAAGCTCGTAGTATTTTAAGATAACAATACAAATGGCTCAGCGGCATAACAGAGAGAGACTTCATCATTTTAAAAGAATCTAAAATCAGCTGACCAAACAAGGTTGACACAATGAAAGTCATGCTGTCTTTTAGAGGAGGGGGTATCTGTGCTTTCTGAAGTTGTTATAGATACAGCACCACAGTAGGGCCAAAGCTATAAGAAAGATATGTATTTGTTATTCAAAACAAGTAAGAAAGAAACGAAAACTTTATGTTAATAGCAAAAAGAACATTAAATACTTGATAATTTAGCATTAAACTAAAAAAAACTTCCAAAATGGGAATGTGAGAAATAACGAAATGCATGTAAATGAAGGTAAGCTATGTTCTGGCCAAGAACTGCATAATATCTAATTTATCATTTTAATTAATCTGAATTAATGTCCAAAGGTTTATATAATTTGGGAAAAAACAGATAATGAAATTCAACTTTTTAAAAAATGTTAAGGTATACCCGTTATCAGGCATTTAAATATACTGCAGAGGCAATTGTTCAGCTTCAAATCAAAACGTATAAACACAGACAAGGACCACTGTAAAAATATGGCCTAGGCTTCAAAGCAGTTTTTAAACTTTTATAAAGAAAGTGAAGCCAAGTTCCTGAATATCTACATCATGTACTTGTACGGGAAGACAGATACTATTTCCTCCATTTTCATAACTGACAGGTAACTTGCCTAAGGTCATTTTGCTAATAAATGGCAAGGCTAATAAGAGTCAAAGGGATCTGTCCAGCATCAGATGCCACGTTTTTATATGGAAAGTAGAAGCCATAGAGCCAATAATGGAAGAGCACTCACTTTTTAATACATTGTTTTATAAACAATGTATTGTTTGTAAAATAAATAAAAGTGTCAAAAAATATTTATACCAGACTTTCATTTCCAGAAGTACTTTTCCCTGTTCTTTCTGCTAAAAGTATAGCTAAAAACCTTGGGCATACAGATCAGCCAATAATCCAATCTCCCAAACCAGGATCCTTAAAGGGCTCACTCACTATATGCCTCTTCTGAGTCTTCCATTCCAGGGCTTTGACTCATAATTATTTCACATTCCAGCTATCATTTAGGCACACACACATTTACAATTTATATATTATGATTTCACTATATTGGCCATGAATGAAGAGGTCTGAACCAGTTTGAAGACAGGCAACAAACAAAAAGACTTTGAAAGGTGAAGAGAAGGCAGGCTGTCTGGAGACAACAGTACCCAGGGAAGGACAAGAGTGTTTTCTTTGTGCCTCATATATCCTACACTAGGGTTAGAGAAGTTGGAAACCCAGAAACGTCAATGGGATTACAGAAAAAAAGCCCCAAGAGTTTATTTTCTTTAGCTGATGAACCAGGAGACAGAAAGCCAAACAAAACAGAAAACTTTTAGACAATTATCACCTCTAATCCAGTCAAGCACTATATAATATTTTAATCCTACCCCACCACCATTATTTGATAAGTAAAAAATTATCCACACTATGGCTGTAGACTTTATTTTAATCAACTTTTAAAGAAAAGACAGACACACTATTTTTTGACATAATCTCCCTGCCTTTTAATACACATTGCCCATCTGTCAACAAGTTTTCATATTCCCTTATTAAAATATGTTTTAGGCTTAGCTACAAGACACGAATGCACTATTGTCTTCACTTCTTTATCAGAGGTGAATCTTCATCCTCAAAGGGCTGCTTCCAGGGCACCAAGATCAGGAGTATAGGGAGGATGCTTTGACACCTCAAAACAAAGCTTTTTGTGTGTGTGCAGAGTGTCCACAGTGTGTCAGAGGTGTGTGGACATGAACTGTCATGCAAGATCACAATGCCCTTGGAAAGCAGCCCTTTGCATGTAATCCAGTATTTAGGCTTCAGCTCTTCAGGGAGCATCTCACTTAAGGAGCACTGTTGAACCATTTTCCTGATAGTGTTCCAATACTGACCCTCTTGAGAATCCCAGGAAGCTGTAAGCACCATTTTCCTAACTGATCGTTGACTTCTGAAGTTTTTCTTGGTCAGCAATTGAGGATGTTTCCATTTCATACTCTGCTGTTTACTCTCAGGCTCATAGTGACGAATCCACATTTCACCAATAGGACCGATTTTTTGGAGGGGGGGAACTTTTACCTTTCTTTGAACATTGGTTCAAATTCTGTTTGCAAATCTCCAAATACTTCTGTTTATGCTCTTTCGCAAGTTGTTCAGAACCCATTTCGGTACCACAAACTTTTCAAAACCTAAGCCTGTTGTGGATCATTTCTAGGCAGAGCCATGGCTGATTTGCAAACGATCTGCCACATGATCTACTGTCACTTGTCTATTCAACAGAATTACTTCACAAGCACGCTCAATGTTGTCATCAGCCCTGGATATGGTTGGGAGTTTTAACATAACAGAATGCGGATAATTTTTGAGTCACCCTCATAGATTGGACTGTTGTTAAATGCTGTAAAGTCAGTTCCGACTCATAGAGACCATTTATAGGGTTTCTGTGGCTGTAAATCTTTGCAGAAGCAGAAAGCCTCATCTTTCTTCTATGGAGGGGCTGGTGGGTTCAAACCACTGATCTTGTGGTTCACAATCCAGTGCTTTTCCTAACAGAGCCACCATGCTCCATAGATTGGATCATATCCCCTCAAAATAGGTATTGTTAGGATTTATAGCATATTTGGAGGACATAATCCAATCTAGAACTAGTGTGGGATTAGAATATTTTATATGGTGCTTGTCTGGATTAGAAGTGACTATTGCCTAAAACTTTTCTATTTTGTTTGGTTTTCACTCTCTTGGTTTAAAGCTATAGAAAATAAATTCTTTGAAGCCCTCATATGGTATTGTAGGATTACTACTAGGTTGGTAAGGAGCTCTAGTAGCGTAGTGGTTACAAAATCAGGCCTCGAACCGCAAGGTCAGCAGTTTGAAACTACCAGCTGCTCCCATAAAGATTTACAGCCTTGGAAACCCTGTACAGGGTCCCTATGGGTCGGAACCGACTTGATGGCACATAACAACAACAACAACTAGGTTAGTAACTGCAAGGTTGGCAGTTTACACACACCAGCCACGGGTGGAACACTTAAAGAGTTGCTGTGAATGGGAACCGACATGCCTGGCATACAACAACAGTAACATGCCTGTTGTTATAATCCCATTAAGAATGGTAGTGGTGTGACACCGAGTAGGTTCTGACTTATAGCGACCCTGTATTGGGTTTCCAAGGCTGTAAGTCTTTACAGGAGCAGAAAGCCTCTTTCTCCACAAAGCAACTGGTAGATTTAAACTACTGATTAGGAATAGCTGTCTTTATTATGTCAATGAGGCAGGGTTAGTGTAGGGTGTAGCTTGACTCCATCTCTTTTGAGATATAAAAGAGGAAGTAAATTTCTCTTGATTAAAGTCATCCACTGCATTTTTTTCTGCCATTTCAACACTAGAGAACTAAGACATCCACCTGCATCCACAAAGTCCAAATAGAGCCTAGATTTCCATCCTTGCCTGGCCAAAATGAGGCACTCTGCCTCCTTCACTTGGATGATACCAGAGAAGACTAAGTGGGGAAGCAAGATTTCATTCTTGCTAGTGGTTATGAATCAGGCTGCAAACCACAAGCTCAGCAGTTCGAAACACCAGCTGTTCCAAGGGAGAAAGATGAGGCCCTCTGCTCCCGTAAAGATTTACTGCCTCGGAAACCCTGTAGAGGGTTGTTATGAGTCAGAACCGACTCCATGCACATAACCACCGCCACCGGGGAGCAGTGAGACACTCCCCTCCCCCCCCCAGACACAGTGATATATGCAGTGCACAGTGAAACGCCTCAATACCGCAGACTGCTCATTTTACTTGCATATGATATTAATATTATTTGATAATTTCTGTATTCCACCAGGTCATCTTTCTTTGGAATGGGCACAAACATGCATCTCTTCCAAATGACTGGTCACTTAGCTATCTTCCAAATTCCTTGGCATACATAATTGAACACCTCCAGGAACTGCATCAGTTTGCTCAAATATTTTAATTTGTGTTCCATCAATTCATGGAGTTTTGTTTATTGACAAATGTCTTCAAAGCAACTTGGACTGCTCCTTTTAATACCATTGGTTCTTGAGCATGCTACTTCTTGAATTGACCAAACATCCACCAATTTGTTTTAATACAGCGACTCTTGTGTATTCCATCTTCTTTTGATGTTTCCTGCAGTATTCAGTATTTTGCCCATGTTGTTGTCGTTAAGTATCTTTGAGTCAGTTCTGACTCATAGCAGCCCTATGAGTTTCTGAGGAGTAGCTGGCAATTATGAATTGCCGACCTTCTGGTTCAAATAAACCTGTGTCCAGTGCATTGTTCCACAGTGCCACATTTTGCCCATAGAATCCTTCAATATTAGAATCGATTTGAATTTGTTTCTTCAATTCTTTGACAAATACTGAGAATGTCTTCCTTTTGGTTTTCTGACTCCAGGTCTTGGTACAGTTTATTATATACTTTACTTGCTTTGTCTTCTCAAAAATTTGCCTTTTGGAATTTCTGTTCAGCTCTTTTACTTCATCATTTCTTCCAGTCACTTTAGCTTCTCTACATTCAAGAGCAACTTTCAGAGTCTCTTCTCACATCCACTTTGCACTTTTCATTCTTTCCTGCCTTTTTAATGATCTTTTGCTTTCATTTATGGTATTCCTGATGTTATCCCAAACTCCTTTGATATTTGGTCATTAGTGTCTAATTCATTAAATCTGTTCTTGGGATGGTCTCTAAAT